TCGAGCACGTCCAGCACCAAGAGCTTCGTGCCGAGCGAGTTTACCGAGGACGTCTTCGGCGCCGCGTTCGAGAGCATCAAGTATCTCGTGTTCACCAATACGTGGCCGCGGTACGTCGAGGCGGAGTTGGCTGGAAACGCTTCGTAAATCAAAGTAGATCAAGTCAAAGAAGAAGCACACATGGATCCTCGCATGTGAAGGCATGGAGGCTTATTTATCTACCATCTCTTACACACTACCGGGAAATCACTGAACATCTGGACATGCTCTCACTACTCCCGCTCTCTTAATACCAAACTATACCATACCTCATCACACCAGCGTTTAGCCTCGCAGGGCTGTGGTGATAGGCTAATCCGGCTTCTGTTCATAGTTATAGGCACAGCTCGGGTCTTTTCCTTTTCCTTTTTCCTTTTCCTCTTCCTACACTCTTTGATTACGGCTAGATGGCGGGCGGGTGTTTGTGGCGGGCACTAAAAGCGCGAGCGACTGGGTCTTCAATGATCGTCGGGTCTGGATGAGACGGTTTGGAGTTTTTAGGCGGGATTTGTTGGTTGTCTTACATGACCTGGTGGGGATTGGCTTCTGGGACCAGATTTGAATCGGGCTTTGGATTCGGCTTGTGAGGATTACATGGCGATTCGAGAACGGACAAACGACTGCGCTGGGGGGTTTTTTCTTTTCTGTCTCGACTCTGTATAGCGCAGCGCTTGTCTGTCGAAGAGCTATGTCCGTCCTGTGTAGGAAATACCCTGATAAATCGTGCTGCTTCATTGCTTACTCTGCATCCCATTACTACGCTTTACAGTATGTATACCCTTCACCATCGCTGCACAAGGCGTTCCTCAGACTCTGAGTTTGGACGCCTCTTCTTCCTGATTTCGCACTCGGCGTACTTGCGATGTTGCCTCCCCCCCGGTTCGCCTACTCAACCCCCAAAGACAGACCTCCGCGTGCTCCGTCCCCAATCCATCGCACGCACGCACGCACGCACCCTCTCCCTCCCTCACGCCATCCCAGAAGCCCGGTCTCCCAACGTCCTCCCTCGCCTTCTCCCTTCTCCCTGCTCCCTGCCCTCAGCATAAACCACCGTGACAGATCCCCCCGCCTTAATCTGGGCTATTTGGCCCTACATGCAGTCCCGCGGCGTCGCATGAGCGCATGCGCGGGCGCCTGCATTTAGGCGCAAAGGCTCCCCCGTTGCTTCTCGCCCTATGGGCGCAAGGGCATGATTTATTATCTGGTGTGTTGTACTTGCTTGCTGGGTGGTGGGCGATGCTAGGGCGGGGTTGTGTATGCGGGGGTTTGGGAAGCCGAGAGTGCATTTTGGGGGGGGAGGGCTGGTTGGTTGGTTGGTTGGTAGGATTGGATTGGACTGGATTGGACTGGAGGCTCTTGGGTTGCATTTCGCATTTGGCTTTTGGCTTTTGGATGCTGTTGTTGGGGCCGGGGTGGATGGCGTGGGTGCTGGGTGGATAGATGGAGGCAGCGTGTGGAATTGTGTGCGGTGCGGCGTTGCATTGCGTCCTACCTGTCCACACGAGAGAGCTGCCGATTGCCATCTATCTGCCCCGACTTGTTTGCTATACAACGATCATCGCGGCATCGGCGTTCTTCGCCGAGAAAAGATGCATGTCTTCCTTCGATGGGAGGCAAGCTGGCTTCTAGCGCCAGCACTCGCTCAGAGAGCGTTCTGTGACTGGAACTCGTACCTGCATAGATGCGCATCCACTACGTCTTGTCCCGTCTCCACTAATTAGCTTAACTCTACCCCTAGGCTTCGGCAATCGCAAACTACCGGTACATTATCCAGGTCCCACTTTCGCATCGCCCAAACCAAAGACTCCCCCTTCCCTCTTCGGGAGTCGACAGGCCTCGCTTTTTTATTTTGCACCAATCATCGCCCGGAGGTTGGTTGGCGTTGTTCATGCATAGCGCGGCGAGGCTGGGGTGCGCATTGTCCCGTGTACCGGCTTCGACGCCGTTCGTGAGGGAGCCTGTGTCTCAGGTCGTGCGCTTGGCGTTGTTATCGGTGGGTTGTGGATATGCGTAGAGGGGAGGGAGGTCCCATGGACCTGGGTTGAGGGAGGAGGGAGGGTGGTCGTGTGATGGTGGGACGTGGCCGAGGTGGTGATGGGGGGTGGTGGGCGAGTACTGTTGGGATGGTAGTGGGAAGATGGAGTGTTCGTTATCTCTTGGTATTGGGACGGGGAGTCTGGGTTTGGGAAGTCGTTGGTTGGCAGGATGGCGGATTTCGAAGTAACCAATCAGATGCTTATCATGTCGTTTCCTGGCGATGCAGCAGTTCTCTATACATCTGGGAATAGATCCCTCGTGACGTCATAAATACATAAAAAAAAGTGACAACTCCCCATCAGGAATGTTCAGAATGGCGTGGATAACTGCTGAGCTTTGCCGTTTCTGGACCTCTGGGACCTGTTGTCCATTTCAGGCTTGGTGACCCCCAACCAACCACACCCAGTCTCAATCTCTAGTCTGGTGTCCTCGGGCGGTATTGAGTCAATTCCACGCAAATTGAAGATGCCGCGCGATGGCAGACTCCACATGCGGCGTGCTCACGCGCCTTTCTCCGTGGATATTGGTCTTGTCCGCCCTTGCAGGTCCGAGCCTCATCGCAATGTGACTTTGGTGAGGTAGACACGCGTGATGAAATATGTATGCATTCTTCCATATAACTCTTGTTTGGGTTCGGGTGTCGCCGGCTGCCTTATGGTGTTTGGCAAATTCGTATCCAGGGAGATTTTCAGAGTCGTGGTTCCCATCTCCTTGCGCAGACAGAATAGATGAGTTGGAGGGCAGGGGTAAAGAGTCAAGCGTAGTGAGTAATAGTGTTGGAAAGAGCCGTGATTGATACCAACCGAATTAGCCAGTGCAGATTGGATAAAAGTTGATAATGTGCTGTTTTTCGCTTAGTCGTCCAGGAATTCTTCTCTTTCTTCCTTCGCAAGAGACTCTTGATCGATGGCGAGACAATACTTACATAGTCATCGCACGTGTGTTTTCCCCTTTGTTCTGTTCCTCTGCCTGCGTGTACTGCTTAGCGTGTGCATTTGTTCTTATCCTCGTGTAGGTTGCAATTTCTGGCCCAAGACCCAATGCATCGCGAGTGTCCTGATCTGATTTCTACACGTCGACTCTCGTTTAGCACGACCATGATCCCACCATATGTTTGGCTCGGCCTCTCCAGCCTCACCATACCCGCACATAGAACAAGCGAACAACTTGTCGATAACGGATTTGACATCTGTATGCTCTTCCTCTATGTGGGGTTGAGAAGGTGGTCACCCATTGCTCAAGACATTCGCCCCCAGAATGGGTTGATGATTCCCATGGATGTACACTCTCATGCTCTCGTGACAGCTCGTAAATCTCAAGGGGTGGGTAGCCATCCATCCCTATGTCCACATATTCCACCTACATCATCCTCAGCATTGTGGCCATTGAACACACGATTAGAAACCTTGTCGATCCGAACATACTCATACGCCATTCTTATATCCCTAGAAGCGTTGTGGTGCTAGCATAAAAGCCCCTCAAGTGAGGAGTAATGTATCGATTGTTTTCTTTATGATGACACGGAAGTTATATATGTTTCTTCGCTCTCGCAAAATGTTTAATATTTTCGGTCCAAAGAAATGCCGTATTATCTATAGCGCCTAGAAATTGTTGAGTACATCAGATGCCTCAGGATTTGTAGGTGTTCAAAGCCCGGGGCCTCCATGTTTCGCCGTGGCCGATTCTATTGGATGGATTAATGGAAAGGTAAGATAATCACTAATTATATCATTGGTCATAGATCGTTCACATTCTTCCGTTATTCTTTTATTGGCTAGAAATTATGAGACTTTCGCACTCATATGGGATTTTTAATTTACACTACGACGTCTTTCTTGCTAGGGTCGTTCATGGCACGTTTGCAATCAATTTTATACTTCATCGGCCATATATGTATCGGCATAAGCGCACAAAAGACGAGGCTTATGTCTGCCAACTTGGCCGCCTAGAATACGCCCGGGCAGGATAAGAGTCACCATCCAAAACGTTTGAAATCGAGCTTCGGGCGTACATAAGTAGACTCCAAATCGTACATTCTTCTTAGCTAGGTAGTCTTGAATTGCCCTCTCGGCGGACTTCTCCGTCCTTTGCCACTGCTGGCGCAGTCACCAATAAGATCTGGTGGAAATCCTGGGACAAGGGTTGGAGTGACTGGGTGTCTCTAGTTGGCGAATCGATGAAGAGCTCGCCTGTCATAATTTCGACGGCGAACAAGCTTCTGGATGTCTTTGCCTTGGGCGAAGACAACGCTTTATGGACGAGAAGCTATAGGAGCACCGGATGATCCGATTGGGAGTCCTTGGAAGACAAGTTCGACAGCGATCCCTGTGCCGTCATGTCGGATGTCAACCGTATTGAATTATTTGCGGTGGGATCGGACGACGGTGGGCTGTGGCATCGCGGCCTGGTGGGAGATACATGGGAGAGCTAGGAGTCGTTAGGTAGGACGTGCAATTCGACACATACCGCTGTGTCGGTAGCAAGCAAAGATGTGACGGCGTTTTGTGTTAGCAACGAAGATGCGATGATGTATCGGTCTCTTATAAATGTGTTTGGACCGACTGGAACGACATGGCTAGCGCAATTGCGAATTAGTCGTCCAGGAAAGTAGTCGAAGGCTGTGTTGTTTTCTTTAGTTTCTTTAGCGTTTTGTTAGCATTTCTGGAGAAAAGCTCGTGGCTGGTTTTCTGGCTCATGTAATTCAAATTAGAGACAAGTTGATTAAGCGGGCAAAATAATAAAGCGTTGAAGAGTTTCTATGAAGATGTCGATTTATTACCTTCAGTTGTGTAAGTATTATATACATCACGCCTAGATTTTACAAGGAGTCAAAGGAAGAAAATTACTATATTATCTACATGCATTTAACTATATATACTAGTTCGTGTAAGGTAGTAGTATTCAAAAAAAGCAGATACCCTCAAGTTCGCTTGGTATAGTGGTAAGCATTTTAGTTCGTTACGCTAACAACGCGAGTTCGAGTCTCGTAGAGAGAGATATCTACTTTTTTTTGCCAAGCTATTCTGGAATATGCTTTTAAGATCTTAAGAGGGGAGCCGGAAACAAGCATTAGCTAACAAAAGGGAGGAGTTTAACATGCAAGTTCTTAAATATGTTTCTGCTTAAGTACCTATTTGCTAAAGCAGCTGGCATTTCCTTTTTATATACTAAAGTAGCCACTACACTACACTACACTACACTACATAACATTCCTGCTTAACAAAAGCTGCCGCAAAGCTTATATAAGATTACAAAGCCTCAAAATTAGAAGCTAATCTAGTACCTTTACCTAGAGGCGCAGGATTACTTGTTTGCAAAGATTTCTCCTTCAAAGGTACTCGGCATCAAAGATACCGAGGATCCAAGTACCAAATCCAGCTTGCTTTGGGTGTTTGAGCAAGTCCTCCATGTGTCTTCTAAGCAAACTTCTGAATTGCTCAGTCTAATTAGCAGAATTTTAGATATATCTAGCTGGTGAAGATACTGGCTTAACTTCATGGCTACGTCGTATTCGTATCTATTTGAAGCATTTTTCCACTAGACGCCATGAAGTGTTTGTTCGCTGATGAGACTGGTCAAAATCAGAGCCAACCTGCTGAGTCTGTCGACCATCTCTTTGACTGATGTCAAGTACTTAGGGAAACCAGACTTTTTGAGTCGATCCTACTCCGCCAATCCCTAAACTTGCACATCACATCTGGGCAAAATCCTCCTGTCTGGGACACCATCGGCCAAGACCCACAAGAGCACCAGAATTTAGGCAAGACAATCCCAGAAACCAAAATACATGGCCATGACCACCTGTACAACACGTGGGCAACAAAGCTACAAGTGATTCACGGGTATCGGAACATCACATCTTGGCATCGACTCGCTCCGACCACTAACCCTGATACCCTTAGCAACTACTTCGGACGATTATTCGCCTTTTGACGTGCGACAAGGCGCACCCCACTGCCAAGGCGATGATCGCTCTTGACACGAGAGATCAGGCCAAGGCTCGTTGTCAACTAAATTTCTCGGGAGTAGCCTGTATGACGTATCTTAGAAGAAATGGTCGCTCGGCACGTGCTGGGCATTACTACATGCGCAAAATATTGAGATATATAAGGCCACTATCTTTTTTGGGGGCTATGAACACCATCTTATAAGACTGAGCCTCATCATTGACACCGTTGAACGTCGTCATGGGCCTCGGAAAAGTGTGAGTCTTGAAGACCGAAGGAATAGAAGCAATTTCGAAGCTGACTGAGATGTCCAGGTCTGTTCGCATCAATGGCGCGGATTGTGGAATCGAAGCGATTATGCTCGGAGTGGTGACCTCGGTTGGTGGGTCCCTATTCGGATACGATACGGTATGTTGCTTTCGAAGTACGATGTCTGAAGACGAGTCTGATATCAATGCATTAGGGCCAAATCTCAAGCATGCTCCTGTTCGAGGACTTTATCGATCGATTCGGTCAGACTCAGCCAGATGGCTCCAAGGCCTTCGATACCATCATATCCTCTTTGATCGTCTCGCTCATGTCTATCGGAACACTCATCGGAGCACTTTCCGGGGCATACACCGCTGATTGGTGGGGTCGACGACGCAGCTTGAGCTTCGGAGTTTTCGTCTTCATCGTTGGAAACATCATCCAGATAACCGCAATGGACTCGTGGGTCCATTTGACGATGGGACGCCTAGTGGCTGGTCTCGGTGTGGGAAACCTCTCCGTCGGCGTGCCCATGTTCCAATCTGAGTGCTGCCCTCGTGAAATCCGAGGTGCCGTTGTTGCATCGTACCAGCTCATGATTACGATTGGTATTCTTGTTTCGAATCTTATCAACTACGGTGTTCGCTCTATCCAAGCAAGCGATGCTTCCTGGAGAATTGTCATAGGGCTGGGAATCGGCTTCTCTCTTCCTCTTGGAATTGGAATCCTTTTCTCTCCTGAGAGTCCGCGATGGCTGGCAGGTCGCGGGAAGTGGGAAGAGTCTCGCATGTCTCTAGCTCGGCTCCGAGGGATGAAGGATGACCCGTATAATGAGCTCGTGCTAGATGACTTCAAGGAAATGCAACAATCGATTGCCGAGCAGAATGAGGCTGGCCAGGGGACATGGATGGAGTGTTTTACTAGTAGGCCGTCTGAGATCCCTCGCTTGGTATATCGCACATTCCTTGGTTGCGCGATTCATCTACTGCAGCAGTGGACAGGCGTGAACTACTTCTTCTATGTAAGAGGCCTTGGCATATTGAAAAATCCTCGACTAACGTAGTACTTCAGTATGGCGCAACTATCTTTAATTCGGCTGGCATCCAGGATCCTATTATGGTACAGCTCATCCTGGGAGCTGTAAATGTGGCAACAACTTTCCCTGGTCTTTACATTATCGAAAAGGTTGGACGTCGGATCCCACTCATTGTTGGCGCAGTCTGGCAAGCTTGTTGGCTCCTTATCTTCGCATCTGTTGGAGTTGCAAGGCCTCCGACTGAGTATGAGAGCTCCGGTATCGTAATGATTGTTGCAGCATGCATGTTCATTGCTTCGTTCGCGATGACTTGGGGCCCCTTCTGTTGGGTCGTCATTGGAGAGACCTTCCCGCTTAGAACGCGTGCGAAGCAAGCATCCCTTGCAACGGCGTTCAACTGGTTTGGTAAGTCTTTTAGTCTCTTCTAGTATCTCCGCATACTAAAGACTCCCAGGAAACTTCCTCCTCGGTTTCCTCACTCCGTTCGCCAACGATGGGATTGGCTACGGTTTCGGATTTGTATTCTTCGGCACCAATCTTGGAGCTGCCTTCCTCGTCTACTTCTTCCTTTACGAAACAAAGTCCCTATCTCTCGAGAATGTTGATACCATGTACTCAGACAAATCCGTCAAGCCTTGGAATAGTAACAAGTGGGTGCCTGTTGGGTACATCTCTAGAAATACGCGCGACAATGCGTACTGGCACAGACGCTCATCCATTCTTGATGAGCAGCGATTACATCCTGGAGGTGATGCGGCTATGGGCATTACGGAGAAGAGTGCGGATGAGAAGGATGGGTCGCCTAGGCCGCCCACTTCAGTGCAATTGGAGACTGTTCTCGGAGCAGGAGATGAGAGGCGAGTGTAAGTTTGGTTCCATGTATCTGCATTTCCTTTCGAGTATATATTTAGTTCACTGTTGGCTGGTGGTATTATGATCACTGCTATTGAAATTGTTAGCGTTCTACCATTTTCATATGTGGTTACGGAGATGAAAGCAGATGCAGGATTGATCGAGTCAAAGCTATTTTGGGATGAAGAACCTCACGAGCGATATACCCCCACTTTTGACAGAGTTCCAACCCCCAACTACTTTCAGCCTAATCTTTCAGTGTCGCATAGGTAGAACCAGTACTACTTGACTATTATAGTAACATAATATATAATGTTAAGTTGTCATTGCGCGTAAGCTTATAGATAGCAAATTAGAGTAGTAGAATTTATTTTTGTTAGTCAACGCTTGTTTAAGGCTCCCTTCTTAAATCTTAGAAACATAATTCTAAAATACTTTAGCCAAAAAAGAAAAAAAAGTAGAAATCTCTCTCTACTAGACTCGAACTCACGTTGTTGGCGTAACGAGCTAGCATGCTTACCACTATGCTAAGCAAACTTGAGGGTATCTGCTTTTTTTGAATACTACTACCTTACACTAACTAGTATATATAATTTAGTGCATGTAGATAATATAATATAGCACTACTTGACTATTATAGTAAACTAGTATATAATGTTCAGTTGTTAGTGCGCGTAAGCAAGTAGATAGCAAATTAGAGTAGAAGAACATCATTTTCTTAGTCAACGCTTGTCTACCTTAAAATATTAAAAATATATTTCAAAATAGCTTTGTTAAAAAAAAAAGAAAAAAAGTAGACATCTCTCTACGAGACTCGAACTTGCGCTGTTACGTTAACGAGCCAACATGCTTACCACTATGCCAAGCAAACTTGAGGGTATCTGCTTTTTTTGAATACTACTACCTTACACTAACTAGTATATAATGTTAAGTGGATATAGATGATATGATATGGTACTAGTTGACTATAAAAACAACTCCGGCTCCCACTTTTCCAACTCGACCGCCTTGTACGACCTGTGCAAGTTGCATATTCAAGTCCATAACTATTTCTTGTGATCATGCTTCATCAATCACCTGTGCATCATGTTGTCTAGTAGCAGTCAATGTCTTTTCGTTCTGCTCGTCAATCTCACCAAACCCCGCTTCCTTGCCCTAAATACTATATGCTCCAATACGCGCCATATCTCGCAAATACAGATATTCTAGAGCAATCACAGCGGGTTTCTCGAGCGCCCAAAGCGCCATCAATGGAGTCAAGAGTACGGCTGATGACATTCCAATACAAATTTTTGGGACGGTTCGAAAGCGTGTATGACATCACCCGGAAACCTCATAATCGTCCCAAGCAACTTCATCTAGGCGACTGGAAGGCTATTCAATTGAATGATTTCGTGTGTAAACAATACATCCAGCCGGGGAACGAGCATCCCAACATATGATTGAGTTTGGCTCCTTTGCCGGCAAAGACATGGCATCGGCGGCAAAGCTCGGCTTTCATGCTTGAACGACGGGCGACACGTGGTCGCAGAGAAAGATAAGACGGGCTGACGAAGATGGGATGTCGCGTACACAACGAGAGCTTATAGACCACGTATCTGCACTTAGGCGCGAGTGGTTTGTGAGAGCTTTCAACTTGAATGTAGTTGGAAAGATTCCATCAGTGTAGACCCCACTACCACGCTCTCTCTCTCTCAAGCTTGCTCCGGGATTCGAAAGGCAATATCGCGTCCCACAGCTTCCGCCTACATTTGGAAAGAGAGCCGTCTTAAAATAGTGTTGCACTTCTAGAATAACGCGGGATGACGTGTTCGGTAATAGTTCTGTCCCATTTCGGGCAAGGTGGCATGCTGCAGCTCGTATTATGAAACGCGTAGGAAGCAAAGCGGGGCATCTCAAACGAAGGTTCAAA